TCCAATATAGCGGTGTATTTAACATTATATATACTGTAGTAGTGTTATACAATATGGCAGTAGTCTAGGACATTTTATAGTAAGTACCATTTAATCGAAAAACAGTACTTCATACGAATACTTTGATACTTGATACCCTTGCTCAAATTCATCCGTGGGTTCGCCCTAACTCGCGATTTTTTTAGGTAACCATTTATAGTTTTTACTATTGTAGTCCCTTTTTTGCAGCTCTTACATTTTATGTTTGATATCATATCGTTATCGTTTTATGCACACACCTTCTTTCATACGCCTTGGTGTTGGTCACCCTGCTGCCAGCACTATTAATCATATTGCCACTGTGTGTACCTAGGAGGATTAAACATTAAGGAGAGGACACGCTGTAGTTTCGTTGAAGCCAGCGTACTGGTGGGGTGGGGGGAGGCAGTACTGGGTGGGGTAAATTCTAACCGTAATATTAGGAACCTATTAAGAGGAAAGTCACATTTATGAACCAATAGTACGTTCAAAGGTGAGTAATTTACACAAGAGTGACTTGTTTTTTAGAATTCGTTGTCCTTGTTTTTATTTTTTGTCATACTTATATTGTGTATTATTTATAATACTCTGACCAGAGCGCGGGACTCCGTTTCCTGGGGTCCCGGGTTCAAATCCCGCCATACCACCAATGGCTTTTACTGTTCATAAATTAAAACTCAAATCATGAGTAGTACCGTATGTGTATTTGAATATTTTCTTAAAGAGAAATAAAATAAGTTTTAATCCTTTAAAAGAATGATAAACGCACTTTGGCGGTCAGAAGACACGATGATTGTTGAACATTTACACTTTTACTTGAAGTTTCTTTGGGCAAACAGATCAAATATAGTTCAATATGATATTAAAAAATCAAGAACTTGATTGCCAAGAAATTGTTTTACTTTTTATGTTTGTAATTTAATTGTAACAGCTGTTGGTGTAAAAAAAGTTAGAGCGGCTTTGCATTTTTTCTTAACTTTGGCTATTTAAAATCACCTGCCTTGCACATAAATGCCTTAAAACTAGTAAAAAATAATATTAACAAATCGAAAAAACTATGAAAAATGAAAATTTAAAATGTATTTCACCACCCGAATTAAATTTTTCATTTTAACCTATAATTAGTAAGGATTGTTTTATAAACTGAAAAAATAAAAAAAAAAACTTTATTGTAATTATTTTCTAAATACCACTTTTAAATATGGGTAAATATATATTTTTTATTTCGAGAAACTATTAAGGAACACTAATAAATTGTTAGTTTGTGTAGATACATCATATTTTTTTCAAAAACGTAATTAAAGTAATCATATGTTCAAAGTCCAGGCCAATTCTTTCAACTTTGATCTTCAATAATAAATAATAAATAATAGTTTTCATAGGAATTATTGACACCGTTCGATAGGAAATTTAATTTACTTTAAGAATGCCATCGGTGAATAACACAGGTGTTTTAGTTTAGAGGCAATTTTAATTCGAAACAGCGCGCGTCGCGTTTTTCCCTATCTCTCCCATGTTATAGCCGAGGCTTTTTGCCACTCTACGGCTCCGCGTGCCCCTCTAGTGTTCTGCTAAAGCTGGCTTCACCGCAACATGTGTATTCCTATTCGCGTGCCCTCTCCTTAATGTTTAATCCTCCTAGGTGTGTACTGCCAGACGAAAACATGTGATCTTACAAAGTTATTTTTGAAATGTCATAACTGCCCTTGTAAATATGATAAAATCCCAATTTTTGTTTTGTTTTGTAGAAGAATGTTTTAATTTTTGTAATTAAGAAATGCCAATTAAGTTACAGTGTAACTAACTTTATCTATAGTAATTTCTCACCTAATAATATTTATAGGCCTAAATGAATACGTTGTTAATACAATATGTTTAAATTAGTTGCAGCCTAAAAAACACAGTTAAGCAAGATGTCTGACGACGGTGCAGCAGTTAAGAAGGGTCGTGGCCGCCCCAAGGCTACCACCGAAGAGAAGGAGGCAAAGAAGAGACCGGCAGCAGACAAGTCTCCTGCCAAAGCATCACCCAAAAAGGACGATGGTGAGGTTCCGGCCAAGAGAGGAAGGGGAAGACCAAAGGGAGCTGGCAAGAAGGCTGCGGCTGCTAAACCCAAGGTGTGTTGTGAATCAAGTAACTTTTAACCCCCAAAGCAAGTTTTAAAACTTTCTGCATACGACATGGAAAAATAAAAAAAAAAAAAATTTTGTGGGCTTACACGGTCTAAGTTGCGTATAAATGAACCGTGCGTGTGATATTTTTAATATTTGAAAATAAATTAGTTTTTTCAAATGCTCGTATCCATTTGAATACGCCTAGGCTATTGTTATTACATTGAATCGCTTTAGTAGGCCTACTGTAATTCTGTTATTCTATGCGTAATTACCTACTCACGATCGATGCACCTAATACAGTAGAACCTCGCTAATTTGAACCTCGATAATTTGAAAACCTCTATAAATAGTAATGTTTGTATGTTCTCCTCAGAAAACCTCTAAAATTAAAAAAAAAAATATGGCTATAATTCAATGTGATTTTTATGCTTAATGCAGCCTCTACAATTTGAATTTGCACATATTCAAGCCTCTACAATTAGAATTTTGTTGCCGTAATTCAAACTTTTACCTCCAAAATTCGAAGTCAACCTCTACAATTCAAACTGCGTTACCATATGCCTCTGTAATTCGAATTCAGGACAAAAATACATCTGTTGAAACATGAACTGACGCTCTTATTATGTTCCCACAAGGTGTTCAATTTAGTCTCCGTTCTCTCAAACTCTCTACACTTAAATCTGGGACCTCCATAATTTGAATTTTATCAATTCTGACCTCTATAATTCAATACTTCAAACTTCCTATAATTCATAATATATTGTCTTTCCTCTGAAATTCGAACTAGCGAGGTTCTACTGTATTGACGTCGCAGGCTTATGTTATGTAGGCCTAATGCATGACGTTTTGTAGTGTTGCTGTTTGCAGAACGTATAATTTTTCTGCAGAAAACAAAGCTAGAGACTTCAACAGAAATATTTTCTGCAAAAAATATTTAACTTATTAACTTGTTATGTAGCATTTTCTGAGGAAACTTGAGTGTAAGAAAGGACCATGAAAAAAAATTTGGCAGTCTGGACTTTCTGCAGCCTTTGCTGTCACTCTCCGACAATGTCGGCCATGGTTCTGCTTTAAGGCTTTTTATTGCTTTGTAATATAATTAACTTTCCCGAGATAAAAAGATACAGAAATATATCACATGTCCCTAGAGGCCAAGAATGTGTAAACCACTGAAATTAAACTCTTCAATAATTGTGTTCTATCTATACAAATCGATACATTTTTTTAAAACCAATTACAAAAGCCTATCTGAAAATATTCAGACTATTGGGTATACATATATAAACAAAAGTGTATTGAAAAAAAAAATACCTGCCAATATTTGCTTTTTCATTTGTGTAGGCTTTGGTGTTGGTGTCAGAATTCTTTTCTATTCTTTTTCTTTTAGTTCCTAACTTGTGAGATGAAATTCAGTGTCTGACAGTCTATCCTTGCAATGAATTTCAATTCGAGATGCTATTGACACCTTAGAAAATTCATGACTTTTGAACCAACTTGTAATAGGTTTAGTTTATTGTGTGTCAGGTAACTTATCGATACCAAAAGATTTTATTTGCGATGTATTAGTTATTATGATTTTTTATTTTTATTTCAGGCAAAAGGCACTGGAAAGGGACGTGGAAGGCCGAAAAAGGAAAAAGAAGAAAAATCTGAAGAGGAGGAAGAAGACGAAGTTGATGAAGAAGAGAACGGAGAATAAAGTGTTTTCGAGAATCTCTGAACTTGACGGCCAAGTGTGTTCACTTACGGTCACGTTACTGTTAATGTGTGTTCCCATATTTATATGATAGGTGACCAATTTTATTAGCATAATTTATATTTGTAGTGTTTCTTATTTTATTTAGTGATTACAACAGTTTTATACATTATACAATTTACAAGAACAAAGAGACGTAACTGTTTGTTTTTAGTCTTGATTCAACAAAACCCCTGTAATATGGTGTCGTGTATTGTGAATAAATGGTTCAAATGGAATGTGTGAATTTTCCCTGGTAGCGATGACGTAGTTGTGTCAACACCTCTCAATTTCTTTTATTTTTCAGTATCTACAATGTAAGTTTTCCTATCCTAAATTCTAGTCTTACTTTGTAAATGTTTGGGTTGGTTTTGTGTACTTTATGATAGTAAAACAACTGTTAGTTTTACGATTTCTTTTATAAATTGGAAGTACAAAATGCAACCTGTTGTCTAAACATTTTTCTTTTTTATATTATTGTTCCTTTATATTCTTTGGAAAAATAAATAGTTACATAATTATACCTTATTTTTCTTCTGTCCTTTGTTTTCAACTAAGGTTATAAGTTAATATTTTAGTGGCAAACAATGGATCATTTGGTGAATGAATGACTTGTCAGTTCTTGTTGGCAGTTCATTTACAGTCTAGACATAACTTCATCATATTTATTTAAGACAATCACTATTCTTCAATGACTAGACTAGCCAAATACCTCCTACAGTCACCCGACATAGTTGGCTTCCTTGTACTGTTTATAGTACAGAAAGCTGCTAATTGGTGCATATTTATACTTTGTCGTACGGTTTACACTTTGGCGCACATCAGGAAGTCATTTGATAATTTTGCCTATTAGCTATGAATTGCTATCTAACAAAAATGTCGAATAAATGAATCGATAAATAATTTTGATACAATGCGATTACGATTGCTTACAATAGAAGTCTACAACTGTTAACGGCAGCTGACTTTTACTCCCAAGGGACTAAAATTACTTTTTACTCCCTGGGGAGTAAAACAGCTACCTAGACCCCAAATGCATGTAATTTTTAAAGGCTCCTTTTGCAGAAGTGTAATGAAAAAATGTAAATAAATCTAACACAAGTGATTGATTTTAATGCAGTTTATTTAAACATTTAGCGGGGCACCATAAGCACTCTAAATTGTGGTGGAGATATGTTAATGCCAGGTAGATGTAGATTGGGATCAGGCGGAGGCTGGTCACACGGCAGTAGCAAAGTGAAATGTTGCATCATTGCCGAGAATAAAAGAAACAAGTTCTGTCTGGCAAATGTCTCCGCCGAGCACACCCGCTTGCCTGCCAATAACAACACATACTATACTTTGATTTATGTAAATCTAAATAATCATACACTACAGGGTGACAATTAACACGTTCGCTACTGCAATAGTACGAAATTTTCCATTCACATGGACCAGCGACGCACATATGCGACGGCCGGTTTCCACCCATAGACTGCTGTCGCATATATGCGACGGCTAGTCACATTAAAATAGACTGCCGACGCATATTTGCGTCGGGGTTCTAATGTTATTAAAATGCTTATATCTTTGTAGTGGTCTATTTGAAGGCACTGAATTCCCTGCAGTGGTCTACAGAGATGTCTGACGCACAACTGCGTCGCTTGGTCTGTGGTTATGATGATTGGTGACGTCATATAATAGTTGGAAAAACTGATCTTTACTTTTCTGCATCACTGTATGTATGTATGCAGTATGTATGCTGCATTATCCTATGTAGCTTTTATATTTGTTCAGTTATAAACTGTTCTTGAATAATCTGTTTATTTTTTACTCACTTTTACCTTAAAACACAAAAAAATGAACTGTCGCATATATGCGACGTTTAGTCTATTTTAAGAAAACTGTGATAATTTTCACTATTGTCTTCGCTGTAGACCGGGCGTCGCAAATATGCGACATTACAAAAGGTTATAAAAAATACAAAGAAACAAGAATAATTTATTTACAAACACGATTGTAGCGTATTACAATGTAAATGATCACTGTTTTACAGGTTTTCGCCCGTGGTCTGTGTGTACTGTTATCCAAGTGACAGCCGGTCTATGTGTAAGATTCAAATGTATACCTCGGTCTGTGGCAATGACCGCGGCGTCGCATGAACGTGTTAAGTCTTAGGACGACTTAATAACATTAAAACGAAAAGAGATATCACAACCAAATTTTGTATATCATTATAGGTACTGGTAGTAGTAAGCTACATTTTTGTGTAACTGGTGATTGGATATCACCTATGTTTGCCCATGGGGAGTAAGTTGAAAATCTTAAAGGTAAGCATACATACATCAAATTAAAAGTCTAGTTGCAATAAAAACAATGCCGGTAACCGGACCTCAAATGGACAACCGAGTAAAAAAATGGCAGCCGTTCAAAGTTTCTTGAATTTGCCATTTTGAATATTCAAACGGCTGCCATTCTTCAGTAGTTCTTTTGAGCTCAAATTTGTGGCATGGTATTCTACTAATAAAGACCTTTAATTTGATGTGCATAATGAACTATGCTTACGTTTAGGATTTTCTTCCGTCTTCTAAACATGGATTAAACAAAAAAGAAGACTACAGCTTTAAAATTTGTAAAATAGTATACAACATTAAAACTTACAAAAACCGAAACACAGCAACAAACCGGCAACACTTGAGAGATCAAAGTATGATCCAAACCATGAGCCAGGAAAGTCCAAATCATTGAACAACCCAATAAAGCGAAATGCATATCTATTTAATAAAAACACTTGCTAAGTTCTAAGTTATAGACAAGCTCACCTAGTCCAAAAGGCAAAGACAAATCTTTCTTCTTGAGCTGTCCATTTGCATCCAGATGTCTCTCAGGGCTGAATTCAAAAGGTTTGTCCCAGATTTTCTCATCCATATTGCTGCTCCAAATATTAGCCAACATCATTGTATCCTGAAGAAAAACAATGCTTTGCATATTTGTTTATCAACCAATAATCAAATATGAGGGCGGTTGTTTAAGTAGAACCGTTTTATGTTTAGCTCCTGTTAAAGCCGAAACGAGTCTTGTCGCCGCTTACTGGTATCATTTGTGAACAAAATTACACCATTTGCTGCTCTGTAGCAGTCGTGTACGCTTCACTGTCTGTTTTTTTATTTGTAAAATTATTGAATCTCCGCCGCATGTGTGAAAAGGTCGGTGTTAAGTTTTTTGATTTCAAGAACCATGTCCGGTGCCAGCATTCATTGTCAGAGGTTATGGCCCTAATACAATGAGTGAGGGTAAAGTGCGGTAATGGGTTATGGAGTGTAAAAAAAATCTTTTCCTTTGCGGCTTTCTGGGAGAAGTCTGGGTACCCACCAAAAACACAATTCCTATCGAAATGAACATTTTCATGGCCATTTTTAAACTCCCTAGCCCATTTCTGACTTTCCCCTCTATCATTGCCTTAGGCTCATAAACTTCATCTGGCTATGAATTTCAGCATCAGATATGTTTCTTGGTGGTCAAAAACGTATCTTTGATGTCTCATGCAGCGGTGGATTCAATAATTTAAAAGTCAGCTACAGAGCAATGGTGTCATTCTGGTCACAAATGATGCCAGTAACCTGCGACTAGCCTCGTTTCACACAAACTATGGAGCTATTCTGTAAAACTGCCCAACTTAAAGAACCTCCCTAGTACACCAACATTAACTAACTAATGATCGATACGTTTCCTGGACAGTTCTCTTCTTTGTATTTAGTCTATTAAAAAAAAAATAAATAAAAATAGTATTAATGCAGTGGTAGCATGCACTTACTTACCTGAAAAGCATATTCTAATGATCCTAACATAATAAATCCTAAATTTATGATTACAATTTTTTTGTTCTTTCAGTTTCAATTGGTTAAAAAATCAGCACATTCAACTGAGTCCATTTAGAATAAAACTGGTAACAACTTAAACATTGGGATGGCATGTCTTCCAAACATAGAATGTATAGTTCATCTGGCGTACACACCTTGGGTATGAAATGGCCGTAGAAGTAAGTGTCCTGAGTACATCTGTGAGGCAGAGCCAACGGGACGAGGGCTTCAGCTCTCATGACTTCCCTCAGCACTGCTTCTGTGTACGGCATTCTGGAATAAAAGGAAAATTAAACTAACCGGAAAAAATATTATTTCCCATACGTATTAGCATAGCCTCCTCTAAACCAAGGCTGCACCCAACAATGTGGCAACATCGCAATACTTCACTTGCCGACTACAAACGTCCACAATAGCCACATGCTCTGATCCATTAATGTTATGCTATGTGTTACATGTTACCATTTAGTGGAGGAGATATATGGTTTAGGGTGGAACTAATTCCCACAAAAACTGAGTTTGATTTTTTAGTTCCTTGATTGTGTCTGTTTGACATACTAAAAGTCTAAAAAAATCTAACCATACAAAATGTGTTTTTTGGACGCCATATTGGAAAAACTTGAAAATTTAAAAAAAATCCCCAGAAAATCATGTTTGATATCAAATTTAAGGGATTTTTTAATTAAGGAATTTAAGGAAAATTAATAATTGTGATGGAAAGGAAAATGTCTTCAAAAGGTTAAACAAATGAATACCAACAGCTTGCGATCGTCTAGATTAGGTAGCCTGGAACGGCCGATGACTCTATCAATCTCCTCTTGTATCTTGAGCTGCACCTCAGGGTTCAGAAGAAGGAACTCCACAGCAAAGCCCATCGTGGCTGTGACCGTCATACTGGTAGGAAACAGAAGGTCCCAACACATCATCACGAGCTGTTGCTCTGCAACGGAAATCAACTTACTTTGCACATCTTGCGCTATGGGTAGACAATATTAGTGTCGTTCCTTTTAGATGAACAAACACAATTATATGATGAATTTGTTTAATTTTCAATACCATTCCCAAATCATTTTTTCCAGTTATGGCCCTGCAGGGATTTACCACTCTTTCAATAATAGAATTTCTTCACTATCCACTCCTAATGCACCATTGTGTCTCAAAATGGAAACCAGCAACTGTAATGCAAAACAAATGTGGACTGTGTATGCAATTACTTGGCAAATAGTAGAGTAGATCGATAATGGAAATACAGGTAAAATGGAGAGGCGCTCTCCTGATTTAAGCTCCAAAACTCGTATGTCAATGGGCGAGTAACTATTCTGTCCAGTTATAAAAACGAATCTACCCTGTGATGTTGAAACAAAGAGTTCTACACTGTGACTTCCAACAGACACAAAAGGTTATGAAAAAAGTATTCCAAGCCAGTTAAGCGTGACTCAAGTTTCCTTTATCATTAGAATCTGACTGAATTGCTGCTATTAAGATGTATTGTATAAGGACAAGTCAGTTTCAATCACTGTCATGACTTCTTTGATTTATTTTGTTTATAATGTAAAAGTTAATGTTCAAAGGAGTATTATGGGAATCTCGCAACATCGATTGATGAAACTCAATTTTCACAACATTTTGGGATATCGGAAAATATAAAATATGACCACAGATCAAGTGCTGAAAGGATAAATGGTGGTCAGTGTTTTTTGGGGATTTTCCTATTTAATTAGGTACACTGAACATAATATATTGTTTTCAGCAATTGAGGTTCCCTATAATGCCTATAGTTGGTTCCAGCTTAGTCATGTTCAAGTTTTCTTCCCAATAGATTGAGATAACAGATTCCCAATCTGAAACTGTGTAGAACTTGTGTTTTACTAAATAATTGTTGGAAAATCCTCCGTAACTCTTTAAGCAATGTCAAGAAATTGGGCCTAACTCACAACCATGTCCACAAATCAGATGAAAAGGGGTTATTAATTACAGATAGCAGCTAGAGGACCATTAAGAAAAGAAAATTCTGGCTTATAAACAAAATTTTAACAAGTCAAGGATTGAGTTGTAATCTAGTTACCTGAAAACCAATGTTGAGTCCCTGATTCCTGCTTTTCCTTCATCTGTTTGAGATAAATATCACAAAAATCACGTAGGGCCTCTGGCAGATAAGTGTCTTTATGGTGTTGGACGTGCTCCTGTAAGCTTAAAACAATCACCGTTACTTTCAGTAATAAATTTATTAACAGATAATTTATAAAACAATCCAAAAATATAAAAAAAAAAACAATCTTGGTTTTTTTTACTTTATAAAATACTTTCTTTCAATGTGCTGTGAATTGTGGTGAGGAAAGCAAGAAAGGGGAGGGAATAATTTTGTTCTAAATCTCTAAATCTGCCGTAGGAAACAAACCCACCATTTATCATGGGACAAACTAAATTTGAAAAATTTCCATAAGATTATCTTTGGTTTAATTACATCAGCCGTGAGAAAAAAAAAGATTTGTTCAAAGTTCGAGGAAACAAAATAAGTAAATGTTGTAAGAATTAAAACATTGTGACTTTTACAAAAGCTCAAACTTATAACTTTAGATTTCCACAGTCACAATTCAAAAAAATATAATTATGAGGCATGTTTTTTTAAGTAAGTACAGTTTTTCAATTTTTAATTTTTTTAAATTTCCAGCGCTGCGATTGGCATTTTGGACAAACCTAGTGCGGGTTTCTGTTACTCAAGTAGACACAGTTGTGTTGATTAACACGACCATTTAATTTAATTGGAGCTTCATCTGTTCACAAAACTAGATTTTGAAAGTCGCTGTCAGCTTCACAGCGTACAACAAACCATTCAGAACACGCCGGTCAAAATCGTATTCCAATTAACCTTCATGGTTACTGTCAACAAGAAATGCAAATGCAAATCTAAACTCAAATCTAAACATAAAAATCTCAACAATGACCTTCACAGCTGATTTTGTCATTGCTAAAAAACAGGTTGTGCAACATTAGTTACAAGTTGCAAGTTGCACACATTAGTGTGCAGCATTGTGTTTCATAAGTAAGTTTGCCTCGGTAAAATAACTTATGAAACACCTGGTACATTTTACATTCCTTCTTCCTTAATGTATTCTTAAATGCAAAGTGTTCTTTCCTCAAAAACTAAATTTTCTAAAATTGCAAACTGAATACTATTCACTAACATGCCAAACTCTGCCATCTAGATAGTGCAAATATACCATCAGCAGTTTGAATGATGAATTCACAAAACAGTAGAACAAGATGAAGAGACCTGTATAAACTGCTTGATGAGACGGTTGCTGCGTACACAGTCAATGAAGCCTGAGAGACGAGGCGCGATGTGTCGTACCCACGGAGTGAGGTTAATCATACCAGTGGTGGGGTCTATGCGGAGCTGAAAACTGACAGGCAAGTTGAAATTAATACCACTTTGAAGGAAACCATTTGTTACATGATGATCATTGACCTTTGGACACTAAAGAAGGTATTCCATTAAAGGGGGGACCAGCTGTAGTTGATTTCATATGATAAAATGAACACAGTTGAATGAGCCACTCAAAGAGTGCGCTTTAGGCAAAAAATTAGTTTTATTCCTCAGTCTTTTACTGACATAGTCGATGAGACATAAAATATGTTACAGTTTTAGCTTACGATAAGTTGTTTTATCAGTTTGGCATTGTTAAAATTTGGCATATTCCACAGAAATCAGAAAATATCACAAACACACTGTGTCAGTGGCTCAATTATACTATGACCATTTTCATTTTAACATTAAAACTGGCAACAAACTTTAATAAGGGATTGAATGGCTTGAAAAAGTGGCTTCAGCTGTTCCATAAGGATGGTAAGGTATCTGCAATCCTAGAATGCTATGGGAAGGTAAGGAAACAGGTCCGCGACATAGGAAGTGGTGAAGGAAGTAGTCAATGCAAGCTATCCTGAGTGCGGGAACTGTTTATGACAAATAGATTAAAGTATCTGCAATTATAAAATGCTAAGGGAAGGTAAGGAAACAGGCCCGTGACGTAGGAAGTGGTAAAGGAAATAGTAAAGGTGAGCGGGACGGAGTGTGGGAACTGTTTATGACGATTAGATTAAGGTATACCCAATCCTAAAATGCTATGGGAAGGGAGGGAAACAGAGGTCCGCGACGTAGGAAGTGGTGAAGGAATTAGTAAAGGCGAGTAGTCCGGAGTGTGGTAACTGTTTATGACGATTAGATTAAGGTATCTGCAATCCTAAAATGCTATGGGAAGGGAGGGAAACAGGTCCGCGACGAAGGAAGTGGTGAAGGCAGTAGTAAAGACGAGCAGTCCGGAGTTTGGGAACTGTTAATGACAATTAGATTAAGGTATCTACAATCTTAAAATGCTATGGGAAGGGAGGAAAACAGGTCTGAGACGTAGGAAGTGGTGAAGGAAGAAGAAGGGCGAGCAGTCCGGAGTGTGGGAACTGTTAATGACAATTAGATTAAGGTATCTACAATCTTAAAATGCTATGGGAAGGGAGGAAAACAGGTCTGAGACGTAGGAAGTGGTGAAGGAAGTAGTGAATGCGAGCAGTCCGGAGTGTGGGAACTGGAAACCAATTGTAGCAGTTAGATTTATGTATCTGAAATTGAAATACTGAAATGCTATGAGAAGGGATGGAAACATGTCCAAGACATAGGAAATGGTGAAAGAAGTAGTAAATGCTAGCAGTGCGGGGTGTGGGAAATGTTTGTGGCAATCAGATTAATGTATTTATAATACTAAAATGCTATGGAAAGAGATGAAAATAGTTCCACGGCGTAGGAAGTAGTAAAGTTTAGCATCGCAGATTGTGGGAACTGGGAACCGTTTGTGGCAGATAGATTAATGTATCTGTAATTCTTAAATGCTATGATAAGGGAAGTAAACAGGTCCATGACGTAGGAAATGGTGAAGGAATGTAAATGCTGGCATCGCAGAGTGGGGGAATGATTTTCCCCGAGCAAAGCTCGGTCCCCAGGTACTAAAATTAAAAAGAGCAATATCTCTAGTAAGACAATATCTCTAGTATCTGAGTCTGAGTGAGGAAGAGTCCTTTAGCATTACAAAAATGCATTTAGATCATATTCACTTTTAAACTTCAAACAATCCTGTCAAGTATAAAGTAGTCGTGAAAACACTTAAGCTTAGAATGTCACTGTTATACTGTTATGTATGTTGAGGCTATTAACACGTTCGCTGCGGCACGTCAAATAGCGGGCGTATCCCCAGTGCGGCGCAGCCCTCAGCGTCCCCCAATTGCCGCACCCCCCAATTGCCGCGTGTGATTGGCTTTCCAATTTCGGTCTGACGAATAGCAAATAACGTGAGGGAATGTCCTGCTTTACAACGAGAGTCAATGTAGTTCGCTGAACACCCACAGATAGCAGCACTGCTTGGAACGTAGCCGGTCCCATTGGAATTGTATTGCCAAATGGAGGGAAAAAGACGGGACAAAAAGAAGACTTTTGAGATTGCCAGACGGGGATTTTACGGGGAAATTTACTACCAACCTACACCACAACAAAATGCAAGTCACATTCTACACGCTAACATGTTATAGGTCCGCTTTCAGCCGACGCTAGAGCAAAAACGAAGATATACAAAAGGCATTACCGAGCGTTCCCGATGGGGTACAGACGCACCGTACGGGGGCCAAGCGCCGTACCCGATCGGGAACGGCCGCACTCTACGTGTTAAGAGTTCAGAGTGCTCTCAGAAGCTCCTTGACTAATCTGGGTTCCCCAAGCAAACTTATCAGCTGTTATAAATGGGCTTTGAATTAATGATCAGGCTAAAGACGAGCTAATGTAGGTTACAAAAATATTGTCTTGTTCATTGTTTATTTAAATCTCAACCATCACTCATCTGTGCTTGAAATATCACACTCCCTGATGTGTTGACGTAGTGTAAATATCAATCAATCAATTGATAAAATCAAACACTGTAAAAATAAATGACAGTAGGTATAACATATTACCGTGGTCTTACTGTATAAGGACCGAATGCTACAAAGGTAAGTTTACATCTCATAGAATATATATATCATTACATCAATATCTATTACATAAAAATCTAGTCATAAGCTGTTTAATTCATAGCTCCTATCAAAGCCTCACCGGAGAGCTGTGAAAGCAAACTCTCTGAGTTTGTGGTGTAACGGAGGTGGAAATCTACACCCTAGTAGAAGCTGCATTGTGAGGTTGAGAAAAAATGCGTAAAATGCTGACGGCACCAGCACTCCCCTCTCATCACTCACTCCCTGGGAGACGGCATAGAGAAACAGTATTATTAACAAGAACAAAACTGTTACACTGTCAATGACATGATAGGTGGTGAAAATGGGTTGCTCAGTGTTTCTAGAGCTAGTCTATTATTTGCCTATTTAGGAAGACAAATTGATCTTGAGAAAAGTCAGTAGCTTTGTAATTTGGTCAGAGGCGGGACATGATCACTGAGCTTTTGATAAAATCGTCATGACTGAAGAATCAGCCTATTTTAGTTAACAAAGCTACATAAGACATCACCTTGCATTTATCTTCATCTTGATGCAAAAAATTGTGTCAATTTATTGTAAATGATTTTGAGACTTGTGACATGAATGATTCTTTAACGACTTGCAACTCAATCAATGCAGCATTTTAATGGGCATAAGCGCAACCTGTTATGAAGTAAAGAAGTACGAGGGTCTTTCAATAAGTAACGAGACAAATTATCATTGCTCAAAAACGGTTGAATCAGTACAAAACTTTGGTTTCTTTTCAACATCCCCAGCAACAGTTATACACTTGTCCCATTTTTCTGCTAAGTTTGTAAATGCCCTTGGCATAAAATTGTTTGGATTGATCTCAAAGCCACTTTTGCACCTGCTTTTTTACCTCTTCATTGGATTGAGAATGTATCCCTTGTCGTAGACCATCTTTAAGGGGTCCAAACAGATGGAAGTCTGATGGGGCGTGGTCGAGGCTTTAGGGGGGATGTGGAAGGATGTCCCATCCCAGTTTCTGAAGTTTTTCTTTTGTCTACTGTACGTAGACGTACTGTATGTGGATGGGCGTTGTCATGAAACAAAATCACGCCTTCAGTGAAGAGCCGAGAGCCTTTGGTTCGAATTGCAGGTTTTATCTTGTTTTAACCTCCCCCACTTGTGCTCCATGGCCTCTTTCAATGGCCTCTTTCACTTTTTTTTTTTGGAGGTGAAAATGCCAAGATCCCTAATTTCCATAGACTCTGGGTTGTAGATTTTTGACAGTACCATTTTCTCCACCAGCTTTCTTCAGAGCAGAGCTAAACTAGTCTTTGTTCTTCGTCTTCGTTCCAAGTTCCACGAGGACTCCTCCGGAACGCGTTTGCCGAAACGCCTTGATTTCAGCTCCCGACTGGCTGATCGTGGTGGATCCCTGTTTCATCACACTTTACAATTCTTTTGAAAAAAACTTCTTCTTCAGTTGCTTTTAGATTTTTTGACTGTTAAATTATTTAAAAACAGGTTTCTTTGTAGCGTCCTTGAGTTGTCTCCCATGTAGCACAGATGGTTGGGCCAACGTTGGTAAGTTGTGGAGCCACACAGTTGGCCAACGGTAGAAATGTCACCTCTTTAAACTGTTTTCCAACCAATCATTGTCCAACAATGGCCCAACCATCCAAAAATACTGATGGCCAACTAACCATAACACAACTGATATCCAACCAACCGTTTTATTTCACACAAAATAATAAAGATTAGTGTGAAAAGCATAATTATTAGTTGAGTAAATTGATTAGATAGTTCATAAGAACAAATTTTGAAAAGAAGCTAGAACAAAATTTTTTGGCTCAGACGGGTCTTGAACCCTCCTTCGACTCATAAGCCTCTTACTTTACCACTGAGCTATCTGTGATAGTTGATATAGAGCGTTTTCAAGTGGTGAAAGAGTAGCCGACAGTTGCAATGGTCGCAATACTTAGAACATTTTTGACACTACACACAGTATAATATATGATTCTTCTGTTAAGACATCATAAGTAGTTATTATTTTTTTTTGGGGGGAGGAGTTAGAGTGGATACTGGTATTTGAATATATATTATTTAATTACCGTTAGATTATTAATGCTATTATAATTGAATGTTATAATGATTAATTACTCTTTCCCCTTAAATTGTTGCAAATAAGTTAAAGAATATTAATTTAAAAAATATTTCCATTATTATAATTATGTTGTGAAAGCTAGATCCAGAGAATAAAAGTCGTGTAAACTCAACTATGGACCATCGTTGGTCCAACATAAGTATCTTTTGTTGGTCCAACGGAGTGAAAAACGGTTGGACAACGGTTGGCTTGATGTATGATACCCAGCAATGCATATTAATGTATTTCATTAACAATGAACCAATGTTGGTCCACAGTTGTAAGTATTGGTTGGCCTAACTACGAGTTATACAGTTGGTCAATGGAAGCTTGTTGGTTGTGGAAGCTCCAACCAACCATCGACCAACTGTCCCACAGTTGGTCAACGTTGGCCCAACCATCTGTGCTACATGGGCGGGCACCAGTCTCGCTCAGGTTTTCTTGTACCACAGCTTGTTATGAATAATGTTATGGACAGTGCCAACACTTGCGTTTGCTTTTTCACTTATCAGTTCAATAGTGATACGTCTATTGTCCTGAATTAATGCTTCAATCCGAGATTCGAGAGAGTAAATCCCAACTTTGATCGGTGGTTCACTGGGTTGCTTGTTAGAAACTTTTGTTCGGCCACTTTGAAAATGATCTACCCATTTGTAAATGTTCAAACGATTCAAACAATTGTCTTGTGACGCAAAATTCTAGGGGGGGAATAAACCAGTATTCACCTAAGTCAGGCTAGGCCTACCCCTAGAACTGGCCACACTCAGATTTCTTCCCCGGAGTGCTCAGAAGGAGCCGAGAAAAATCCAGGGGTCGATACGAAGTTGTCACGGCTTTGACTGATCAATTTATTTAAAGTTTAATCGAAGGCTCAGAGCTCAGGAAACGTTCAGGAAATCCTGCAGACGCTCAGTTGGAGCTATATATCATCCTTACCTTCGTTAAAGTGTTTTGTTAAATTTTGCCTAACCTTTGGAATGACTCTGTAGGGCCGACGAGTATTCAATCTTAGCCAATGTGATGTAAATACTCGTATTAAACTGCAACTAATTAGTTAAAGACGTTGATAATTGATATAATATCGAATAAAAGGTAAAAACAATTCCTACAGAGTCGTCGGGGCCTAATTAATATAATCGAATGGAGAATTTATCGTGAGATTGTTTAAAATAAATTTAGTATTAATTTTCGTAGCTGATTATTCAACTCAGCATACTCCCAGACTTGATTCTTTCACCCGCCACAGACGGGGTTTAGAACTTAGACGACAAGTCTCGGGGTATTAAACGACGAATGGACTAGAATAATTTAAGTAATAACTAAGTAATCGTTAAACGAACAGAATAAACGTAATTTCGTAGCAAATTAATTTAAACGAACCGAAAGATATCCACCGCTAGTCACTGGCAGGCAGGAACTGGCGGGTTTTATGCAAGTCGGCGAAAACGAAGTTATTAGAATTTATATAATTCGAATCGGGATGTAAAGAAAGCGAAAAGGTACAATAGATTAAAATGAAAATAACATAACGTGAAAAGGTCCTAACTAAGTATGCTAGCTAACCTTCGTAACAAAATCGTACAGTCGTGTCGATTATCGTGCGAGCGTAGATGTAACGACGAAGTTACTTCCAAGACGGCGTACGAACGAATCATCATGTCTTGGAGTAAAATCCTTCGTTCTTGCCCGCTCGAGGCTCACGCGCTCAAGCGGCGAACTTTAGTACTACTAGACAACAGCTGATCGCAAATTCACTTGTTGAGCTGGTCTAGTTTCGTCTGTCGTCTGTCAACAAATAAACACCAGTTTGGGGTTATGTCGTCAGCGGCGTTAAATACCTGTAAAATCGGCCAGTTTGACTTTATTTGGTGAAACTGAGTGCTATTATAAATAAATATGTAGTTTTGGGTGTGTGTATGTACTTCACTGTGATTAAAAATAGGCCTACGTTCTTTGGCCCATAGCCCAAGCTATGGCCAACACATAGGCCTAGGAGTAGGCTATTGTGGTTAAAAATCGGGTAAGTTCTGGTGTTCATTTATTCGTAGTACGTTTTTACCCCCCTTAAAATTTGGTACCTTACAGTCTCCATTCACTTTTAACATTATTTTGTGGATTTCATTACCTTTCTTACCTTCCGCGACTAAAAAAAATCTGATCAGGGCATCAGTGGACTTGACATCGTTAACTGAGTAAGTTTGAAGTTTGAATTGATCTTTACAAAATATTATTGAACAGCTGATCAATTGTCATTGGAAGGTTACCAACTTATCCTTACCTGAAAGTTTTGTGCTGATTCAATAAACCGTTTTTGAGGAATAATAATTTGTCTCATTACTTATTGAATGACCCTCGTATTTACATCAATGTATACATCTTTTAATTTTAAACATACTCCAAAGTTTACCTCAACTTTTGATTGAACCAAGTCTAGAAAATCTCTGACTTCTTCTTCCACAATCTTTTCAAAACTTTTACTCCTTGTGCCCCAACCAAAGTCTCGAAGGTAACGCAGCATAAAGCGCCTCTGTTCTGTCCATGGTGATCCATCAATAAAGAACTGTCCTGTAAATATTTAAATAGATCAGTATTTATTTTAAAAGTTTCTACTACCATTGCTATAGTAGACTTACCTTCCAATGTAAAAATTTGAAAAAACAACCAAAACCGTGGTGCAATCTGTTGAGATAGTCTAACAACTAACAATATTCTTTCTCCTACAGTTACCTAACAATGTACATGTTCTCTCACTGATTTGAGAAAGCAAAGTGGCCAATTCGCTCACCAGTGAGACAATGTTAACAAGACAATGTTAACATTGTCTCACTGTAATTACTTTGTCTCACTCCAGATTTGCAACGTGAAGGCACGGAATAGTGAGCGCGTAACATGCAGAGAAGGTCGTATGCGCGCGAAATACGTTGGCAGCACTGGCTGTAAATCAGCTGGTCAGCTGTTGTACTGTTGTATCATTAAATGTCACATCAAAAGTTCACTTCTGTGTAAAAATATGTTACGTTTCTTTACAAATGTATTTGTTTTATGGTAACTGTAGGAAAAATATAATGTGCGACTCAAGTGCAAAGTGCAATTGCTCACTAGTTGCACAAATAACTATTGTCAAGTTATAAATCAATCAGCTATTGGTATGGACTTTAATTAATATTCCACCCAATAAACTAGTACCTTTGACTACGGTAGAAAATAGAGTTTTAGTCACTAGTGCATTCTGTGACTGGCTCACACAACTACGTTCTTTTTTAACAAAAAGTTGGCTACAGCTGGTCCATATAGATGGGACGACTACTTCAGTATCTAATAGTCAATGCTAGTACCCTCTGGTGCTTCATCTATTTTCTTGGCTTCAAGCATTTTTACATCGGATGGGAAGTCTTCTCCGTATAGTCAATTCTACTACACAACAGCATCCTTAAGTAGAGAATACAAAATGTTAAGGCATTTTTCAAAAAGGAATAGAGGTAAGCTAGATAAACTCTATTCCTTTTCCAAAAATTCCATATTGCCCAATTAGCTTTCCTTTAATAAAAAAAATCAAAATTTTAAGTACAAAAACAGATAATAATATAAACTATAGTTCGGCCGCTTAGAAAACGACCTGCGTGCTAATGCTAAACCAATGCTGGAGGAGGTCGCTTTCTAAGCGGCCGAACTATACAATGTTCACTATGAGTTAAATCTGAGCCAAAAACATTTTTTTCTGAAGTTCAAGAGTGTTGGCATTATAAGGGTATCAATATTTTAATGTAATAGGTTGATTGTTTAAAGCAAGGCTAACATTGTTGATTAAACCATAAACCTTTTTCTTTCCTTGATGGAAAGTGATATGAGTAATTTGCACATTGACTGTAGAAATCAATACAATCTTTTATCACCCTCTGATAAAAAATATTCCCTTATACTGCTTATTCTAATCGCAGCTGAACATTTTTGTTTTAACTAATGGTTAAAATTATTTGTAAAAAATAACTTTTGTGGTTATTTTATATCTTAGAAAAAATACTTCACACTCATAACTTTGACGAGGTAAGGTAATCTACCCCATTAAGTACTCGTAGATACATTTATGGAACTAAGAAAGGTCAGCTAAAATAATTTTTCACAGAGATGTTAAAAACTTTACCTATAAAAATCGTTAGAAAAATATTTTAGACAAATTTTAATTTAGTTGTACATTTAATTTTTGTCACCATTTCAAACGTTCTTTCAAAGCATAAAATATCTACTTGAATAGATAAGTTAAGTAATAAGTTTAGTAAATGGTTAACCTTTATTAACATTAACATTTTTGTAATTGTTGAAAGTATAAGGGGTGTTGATAGTTAAATTTGAAAACAGCTACCAATAAAAGTGCTCACTTTAGTACTTAATTATCCCCAATTACCACTAACTTTGAAATAAAAAGATAACCAAATAATTTAGAAAAACTAAAACTAAATAATATTGAAATGAAATAACATATTACATACCTCTAATAACACCATCATCGTCCCTTATCTGAGGTATGAAGCCTTCCACTCTGCCTTGGAACTCTGGCCGAATCAACAGTTCTCGTACACTGGCCGAGCTGCAGGCCACCACAGTAGGAAACGGGCCAAGGTACATCCCTAGGACCTAAACCATTGACTAGTTGTAGTTCACTTCTACAGCATAACCAAAACCACATGCTAAGGTATGTAAGCCTTGCGATAAAATCACCTTACTGTAATAGCATTGCAAATTCAAAGTTCCAAAGAACAGCTGACATTTTGGACTCGGTTGTCCGTTTGTGTTCAGATTTGCGGCTTTGTATTCTACTAATACAGACCTTGAATTTTACAAGCATATAAACCTATGCTTACATTTCAGATTTTCTTCTGACTCCTAGCAGGCCGTCCCCCTGAGGGGATAGTGTATCATCACGGCCACCTTTAACTAAGGCCGCGACCAGCGAGAATTGGCTATGTCACGCCAAGCATCTACTTCGGGCCATTTCACCATTATGGTAGTACGGAACTAGTAGTCGCGGTTTAAATATACTGCATTTTTGCACCCTTACAATTGAGATGAAATTTTGAAATTTGGTAGAGCTAGCGAATAAACCCTTTATACCAATGGTGTAGTTTTGAAAATTAAAATTTCGTTTAGTATATATAAATATTTTTAAAATTAACACATTAGAAAAAGTTTGGTTAGTGGTTAGCGTAAAGTGAAATAGTTAGTCGCCTACTAAAATTGTTGTCTGTTGTTTCATCAAGTTGTTTCTCAAGTTTCATCCGTGAGAAATATGTAGATAATTAAATATACTTTACTGTTTGTGTTTAACTTTTCCTTCTATCATGCTTAGTTTTGTTGAAATTTTGGGTTGGACAGAGCAAAAAATCTCAGTTTTATAGCGCGGCGCGGTGTGTAGATGCCCGCAAGCTGTAGTGTAGTATCGCATCATCGCATAGCTAATTAATGTAGGCCTACTCAATTATTTTGAGCAGGTTAATATGCCTTTTGATTATCCTCAAGAATATTACTTTCTTAGCAAATATTATACATTACATACCAAGATTATGTCTCATCATATCCCTATAATTTGCATTGTGAGCCCTATTACTTTCATTGTGTGCGCGATCTCTTTGAGGCATCTTAGAACAATTACAAATACTAATGAAACATACAATGAAAACACAATATCTAATGCAAGTAATTTTCTTCTTTACATTTTATACAAATAACATTACAAATTTCATTACCGTACTTGAATGCACTGAAACATCACCAACTACAGATAACCCCATTTTCTTATGGATGTAAACAAAATTGTATTATGGCCATCTGTTTTGAAGTAAAAAAATGTAAACTTGAAAAAATGCAGATGATTGACAACAGAATTCAGCAAAAACTATGAAATTTTAAAAGCCTATAGGACGAAGGACATTCACGGGACATCATCCAAACCCACAAAAGGTACATCTAGAGGATAAGAGCTTTAAATTGGATAACCAATATGCCTATACAAATTAATATTTAGGGGTCGATTTGCTGTACACAAAAACAAAAAAATCTTTTAATAATATAGGTTACTTAGTTTAACTTACCTCTGTTTTATATCGCCTTGCTATCCAGTGCATAGCTTTGTAGGGGAACCTGTAGTTTTCTACCAAAAGTTGAAGGTAAGCACCCCATATTGGCCAGCGTAAAGGACCTGCCACAAAGTCAAGTTTTTCATTTGCCTAGTTGAAGACACTTGTGTTTTCAAACCAAAACATATAATTATATACAATCTTATTCTTTTAACAGAACAGAGTTAATAATTTTTTCATAATCCATGGCACATACAAGTACATCATATCTCAAAATTAAGAACTGTAAAACTTATAATTTTCAACCATAAATAATATTGCATTGGATTTCTTTTCTAGTTTTGCAGGAAAATTACCTCATTATTTATTCCTAGGCCGAATTATAAATAAAACAGTGTCTCATAAAACACCAAATAAAAAATGGAAAATCAGATGGAAATTCAATATATTAACAACAATAATTCATTTAATATGTTTTAGTAGAAAATTATCATCAAAGGAAACTATAAATATGAAAAATAAGGTTTAAAATATTGTATTATCTCAGGAGGCTACAAACATCACTGTCACATACAAAATGTAGAATATTGTACTTTTCAAACTTAAAACACAACCACTAAAAGGCGATGTAAATTACATCTCAAGCCCACCTCGAATGAAAAACCTTAAAAATATATCTTACCTGGAGGAAACTTTGGATGAGGTTTATCTGTTAGATATCGATAGAATATGTAAAAAAGCAAGCAGAACAAAGCAAACATTAGTTCTCCCGTCATGATTGTCCAAGAGTAGCTGAGTAGTAAACAATACAACTTGGTCGAAGGTTATCTTAGTGGACAAAAACACAGTTAAGTCAACACAGTTATCCTTCATATGATAAAATATGGGTTCATTGTCACATTTAAATATCATTGTTATCAACAACAAAGAATTTTATATTGTTGGATTTCAGTAAGCTACTTGATAAAGGATCTTTTCTTTACATTTAGTAAGTTTGAAGTAATATTGATATAAGAGCATGTGTTTTTCTCCAAGTCAAACATACATAGCTTAGTAAAGAAGTCAGTTTTGTTAAAGGAAATGATTTTGAATTGTAGAATTAATTGTAGATAGCACTGATAGCGGCTATTCGCCTTATTCTATAATTAGTAAAAAAGTCAGTAACTTGACCTTAAATTCAACAATGATAATTAAATCTTTCTCTTTTTTGGAAATTTGGATGGTTATTAATTAATGGATTCAGCAGAGCTAGTCTTTTTTTTGTTCAATTATGTATTAAAATAACTTGTGATCAATACATGTTTTGGCTGTAAGAGTCAATAATTACTTTCATACACTAGGAAGCTATCACTGAATTCTCGGTCTTTAGGTGAGAGCCGCGCCAAGTCGGTATTTACACTATGTACAAAACCAGACAATTTGCCCATTCCATGATGAGGAATCCTCAGTGCCTCATCATAGAATGTACATAACGTCTGGTTTTTACATAGTATAAACACCAACTTGTAACGGCTCTTACTGGATCAATGATAGCTAGCTACCTAGTCCCCTAGAGATTGCTGATAGTGTTTTATCAGTCTCGTTTTGTACATAGTGTAAATACCAACTGGACATGGCTCTGACTAAAGACCAAGAATTCAGTGATGACATCGGCCACCTAAGCTACGAATGAAAACCAGGTAGCTAAATAAGATAGAGAGAATAGAGGAAAAAATTACAGCCATAAATTTTCAGTATCAAGTCTTGTATAATTCTGCTAGTATTTAATGTCTAATCAAAAACAATCAATAACAACAATTATTTATATCTAAAACAGAAATACATCAAATTTAAGTAGTATCAGTCAGGAAATTGTTGTGCACAGTCAAAGTTGTCTTAAAATGCATAAAACGGTATTATTTTGCATGCACTATGCAAAAATTAGGAAACAATAATGGTTCTAAAAAAATTATCATTATTATTTTTTTTTATTGAATAAATAATTCAGCCAATAGAGCTCCAACGAAAATGAAAGAAAACAAATTTTAAATGAGAATTGCACAAAATTTACGAACAAGTTTCAAGAAGTCTGCTTGTATTTACAATAAGTACAACTTATATTGGTTAATATTTACATTTCTTGATTACCACAGATAAAAACTATCTAAACAATATTCAAGTGTATACATCACAATTGATCACAATCAAACTTTAATTTACAACAAATCGGCAGTTAGTTTTGAACTTTGACAACGAAGAGATTCTATTATATTCCGTAATACTTTTAAATAAAATATATTTTCAACAAAACTGTGAACTATAACAATTGGTGGCCTAGATTAAGTTAATGCTACGTAATACTGTATCCATTCACTTGAGTCGAGTCTTCAATTCCTTTCTCTGTGGCATTTTCATCTTGTGGATTCTCACTCTGCTCGGTGTCTTCTTGTTCCTTCTTCTTCTTCTTCACAACATCCACCAGATGTTTGTACCTTAACATGCACTCCTCCTAAACACAAAAAGTTAAATTTAAATGGGAATATATTTTTGATTTTAACATAAAACAAACAGATTAATATTTACAACAGTTGAAATAAGGAATTGGCCTGGAATTGGTTACCAACTGATCAATACATTATATTCTCAGTCGGTTGAAAGGTTCCTAAATTTTGTTATTTATTTATTCAAGTACCAAATTGGGTTTTAGAAATTATAGTTTGCACAAATTGTAATTTGTAAGTTTACCAAACTGACAAGGCAACACTATATGTCAGAAAAACTTGGAACTATGTCACAATGTGCCAGTTAAAATCAAACATATTTTTTTAAAAAAAAAAAGCTACATCTCAACATGTTGAGTGTTCAACCGGAAACAAGGGACAGTGGGTGTAGAGATAAGAGCGGAGGTAGAAATAGCATTTTTTTCCGTCCTGTCAAACCTCAAAGAAGGTCTATAGATGAAAGAGGGTGTTTGGATCATATTATCTAAAACAAGCGCATGTACAGGCAAACCTTTTTTCTGTCTGAAGATTTTTTTTTTAATATGGGGTATTTGGGCACGAGAAATCGATAGGAGTTGGTCAAAAGGCTGGAAAAAATCCAGTTTTCATCCTACAGCTAGCTCTTGAAAGTGCCCTTATAGCCAATACCTTTTTTTAGCTGTTAACCAAAACAGCTGATTCACTTATATTTATTGTCATCATTTGATTTTATGTGTAAACAAAAATAATTGTATTGGTTAGTTTGGACTAAACGTTTTAACAAATATATTTTGTTTTATTAGTAAGGGTCTCAATCCTGGGCCTTCAATCCGATCCCGCGATTTCAGGCTTCGTCTCAGCTGATCCCGGGAATATATTATTTTATGATTTTAACATTTTAGCCGTTTTAAATGTGTGTTAAGTCCCCTTGTTGAGTCCTCTAATGTTTTAAACTAGCCTTACCAGTGTTACACTGCGCAATCTTGTCATTTATTAAATAAAGAAATATCATCACACGGAACTTTCATCACCCGTCTTTCTTATTTACAGTGTATAAATACAAACCCATGAGCTTTCAGTTTATATAAGTGTACAGTCATGTCAGTGGTTAATATTAAAACATTAAATGAAATGTTATTACTCAAGTAAATTTTTTAAGGTACAGCACATAATCTAAATGCTATGATCTATGAAACGGGTGGAACGGGACACACTACACAGATAATATTTCAGCGATTAAATGTTTTTGGTTTGTAGTAAAATTAATTTTGTAAATGATGAAATGTGTCTGACCATGATCAGTGTTGGGGAAGCTACTTTTAAAATGTAGCTCGCTACAACTACTGCTACATTTCCAAAAAAGTAGCTTAGCTACAGCTACAGCTACAGTTCCGAAAAAGTAGCTAGCTACAACTACAGCTACAATGAAATGTAGCTACAGCTACAATGAAATGTAGCTACAGCTACAATTTTAGCTACTTTTCCAAAGACGTTACTTTTTATTCCACGCACATTAGGTAAATGTAAAATTAATTGCAACTACATTTTTATTGAACAAACATTTAAAAAATGCCAGTACTGTATCTAACATTACTTGGAAAAACAAATTATTCCTTGATTGTATTTAATTTGTTGGCATTATAAACCTAACATTACAACAACAGAACAGTTGGGTGTCCCATCATATTTAGTACTTATTTTTAAATAGGCCTATTGCATTATTTTTAAGCATCTTATATGTAAATTGCATTATAAGTTCAAAGGACATACAACCAAACTATACTTTAAAAGCTTATCATATTTCTTTAATATAGATTCATTTGTAGATGTCTTATATCAACAATTAAGACCAATAAAACTGTAAAACGATTATTTAAAAATACTTTTTTGTGTTACAGAGCCTAGCCTACTGAAATTGGAGTTTATTGCCTTTCTTTACTTTTAGTATTAAAAACGACATTGCTATAACTTTTAACCATAGTGATAAGTTACTTGTTTTATGAATAACACTTTTCAAAGTCAAGAAATCGTCCTTTATTGTCATTATGCATAGGGCAAATTGTGCTTCAACCTAGTTGGTACAGAAAACAGTATTCAGCAACTTATCCTGAAATCGGCTTTTAATTTAAACTTAAACATGTTAAAATTTGTAAAGTAAAAATAACATGTAGGCCTACTTGGCTATGTAACAAGTTGGCTAACTTAAAGTAGGCTTGTTCTTGCAAGGACTAAACAGATATATTCCTAATAATTGAACTTGGAACTTGGTATTCGTCTTAAACCATAGCCTCAGTCCTATACAAGAGCTGTTAGCAGGAGCAAACTATGCTATGTTTTCAATGTAAGTTTCATGTTATATGGAGAATTTTTCATTACAATTATCATGTAAGTCTAGGCATATCTTATCTCATCAGGTAATTTCATCTTTGTTAATTTAGTAAACCTTTGAAAAATCTTCGTAATCTAACCAAAGAAGGGCTTGTGATGATAAACCACAATCAACAGCTGAAGCAAAGGTTGAAAGACCAGGTTTCTCATTATTTTAAGGTGTGTTGGTTTCCATTAAACTCCAAGTTGAAACATTATCAATATAATAAAGAAACTAAATTGATTACTAATTTCCCTGTCAATCACTTGCAAGAAGTCAATAGCTTCTCTTGTCACCGGCCGTTTAAACGTCGTCTGCATCTAGCGATTTTATTTTACCTGACAGTAATCATAGAGTAGTAAATTAAGGAAATGAGAGCCAAAAATGTGGATAACACTCATTTAATGGCCTCTATGTCCACACAACGTTGTAATAGGGAATGAAACGGCTGTAACCAGCTGTATGACGCCAAGAAAGTATGCCTAATTTTTTGGAAAATCTCAGTTTGAAAGAGGTTGTTTCACGTAAAGTTGAGGTTATGATAAAAATCACTATCTCAAACAAATGTTAATGTAGCGAGAAAAATAGCTAAAATTCCGCTACAACTACATTAAAAATGTAGCTAGCTACAGCTAAAGCTACAAAATCTTAAAAGTAGCGTAGCTACAGCTAACGCTACAAAAAAAGTAGCGCGCTACTGTAGCGTCGCTACTTGTAGCGCGCTACTTCCCAACACTGACCATGATATTATTTTAACAACTATTAAACCCAATTAAACCTCCCCCCCCTGTACTGTAGGTTAAAACAACAGATAATAGTTACAATTAAACAGAAGTCCGTGGGTCTGCAGACTCCTACAATAAAGCAGACGATTTTACTATAAATTACAGTAGTTTGTTTACTTTTTGATTGTTTATTTAAGTAAGTTGTCTGCATAAAGACTTTTGTAAAGAATTCTAAATCTGTTTAATCATAAAGCTGAAT